TGTTCTGGATTTTTCTCACGCTTGATATGTTCGTCATTGATATAGGAGATAATAAAGATTTTGGTTGAGTAGGGGTGGCCAGCACCACAATTTGAACACATTGCACGACCGCCAAGCCGCTTTGGCTTTGTTTGCCATCCCCCAGTATTGCGAGCACAACTTTTGATGTTGTGGCAATCGCAACAAAAATGGATGTCCGACGAAATCTTCGCCCAACATCAATCACGAACGATTTCACCTGTGGATGCCGGATAGCTAACTAATCGAAGCAGAGAACTCCCATAAGGCAAATTAAAACAAGCACAAATTCATTTGGGTGACTCATAATTCCTGTCTCACATATTCAGTTACTTTTACGTATGGATTTCAAAGTTTTCTACCGGCCTACGTGGACCGAAACAAACTAATCAACAGCATGAACCATCGATCATAGTCGCCTAACATGCGTGGCATTTGCTAGTGAGAATTTGGCGAGCGTTTCCGTCCCAAACGATGGTGTGAACGCGGTTAGAAAGTGAACTCAAGAATCTGGACCCGTAGCCGTCAATTTGACGTGGTAATCGTTCTTTTACATTTTCTCTCGTAGGTGGTGGTTGCAGGCGGGAGGGGGAGCACGCGATAGTCTGATAGAGATGCCCAGTGCTAATGACGTGAATGCATCGATACGTAGGTGCTGGACTTATGGTTCGCTGTTGGCGAGTTCCAGTGTGAGAGTCGTGGCAGGTCCATTTAGAGGAAACCGATCCTGAGACGTTTCTAACGGTTACCTAGAAGAAGCCAGCCTCGAGGGCTATTCCACGCTGACTTTCGCAATGCCTGTCTTCAGGGTACAGTTGGAGTGGGTTGCCCAACCAGCGCACTCAGACGAACTGAGAGTAAGATCCACTGAATACGGTGTTCGGGTTGTTGGTTGAGCTGGTGCTTCCTGGCCTTCACTCGTTCTGGGAAGAATGCAGCAATTCGTTCCCTAGCAAATGAATGCATATCAGAATTTAGGAAAGGTAAATTTGAGTATATTGAAGTGTTGAAATTCGGCCAGAACTTATGGGTATTTACGGACTACTTGGTTTTTCCTCAATGGTCCTCCTCTACATACTATATCTTCTCTGAAAATTACATCGCTCTTCAAATGTGGTAGGTAACAGAAGGAAAAGGATAAAGCATTTGCCGTTGATCAATCCCTTTTTGGGATGCGGCACGCATTCTACTTCCATTTGTACATTCGTAGTGGCGTTTGAATGCGATGTGGCCTATACAATGACTTGCGGGGGCCAGCCGATGTACAAGTCAGTGTTTTTATCCTCCCAGACAAGTCTGGTACCAATTAACCGACCCCGGAGGGATGGAAGGCTTGGTTGGCCCGGGCGACTCACGACCCAGGATTTGATCCCCGGACCGCTCGCGTGGTAAGCGTGCCACTTGCCACTACACCACTTCCGCCCTGAGGTTGGGTAGTAATGTAGTAGTTTTCTATAGTAGTTTGTAACATTAGGCCACTTTCTATCAAGCAAGAGTCACAAGAGTTCGTTTATTGCCGCAAAACTCAAATAAGACGAAGATCTTGGTGAAAAATATTATTCCTGTCGCACTGCGGTGTCAGGGTAACCTCTGGATGTGTCGATTAATAGCTTTCAGAAGCGGATAAGAGCCACTGCCGCAAGATCCTTCGACATCATCAGATCCTGAATGACAGTTTTTTCTTAAATTATTGTAAATTGAAGGCAGGTAATGCGAAAAATAACCATCCATATGATATGAAGTAAAGATGGTAAACAGTGAAGTGAAGAGAAAATTCAAAGGAATTAACCCACACACAAGAGAGGTCACCTTTTCTGCCTGTTTATTCCCGCCTTGCACGGGATTCTATGCACAGTAGCTGCCGCCATCAACGTTAACGCATTGCTGTGACTCCTGCCAGAATGTCTGAAGTCTGAAGGCACGGGACGAGCCGCTGGGGCGGCCAGTCGTAGGGCGGACAGAAGCACATAGGAGTATACAAGGACGGATGAAGCTTTGTAATGTCGCCAGGTGCGCCCTTCGCCGCAAGGTGTCCTTTCTCCTTTCCCTAGTCGTCTCTACAGTAGGCAGATTGCCCCTATTCAACATCCGTTTGTACTACTTATATTTGAGGCCTTATTTTCGTGAATAAATACGGATGGAGAGCCATTTGGGGAAACTTGCGCAGGCCTCAAGCGGCTGGTTCCACCTCTTCACGGGTTTACTGTGTGCAGGAGGGAGGAGCGGGGGGGGGGGTGGTGGTGGAGGAAAAGTGATTCTTCGCGCACGGTGCCGCTGTGGATAGAAGTCCTACGGTGTGACATTCCATAGATGTCTTTCCATAACAGAAGCAGACCCACCAGTGCCCTCCTAATATTCAAAATATGACGCATCTGTTATCATCTTCGAGCTCTAGGAAGCCTACCGTAACCGTTTCAGCCGGGAATAGAGCTATCATTAAATTTCAGATAGAATGGAAGATGCTCTACAATTTCATCTAGAATCACTCAGACTGTGTGCGGACAAGTAAGCGCTCAAACGCTACCAGGTCCTCTCCTTTCGCTGCTCTAAATCATCTGGCGTCACCTACTGATAAACCATCTTACAAAATGTTAGTTATGATGGATGATTTCTGGGGAGAGGTTGGTCCACACGCGGCACTTACAATATGTGGTGAGCTCTCACACGACGATGTTCAGATCTTTCGCATAACCCGCCTTTTGCCAATTCACGCTGCGAAACGGGCTTTCAAGCTCAACCACAGCTTGTCCGTACATGAACAAAGGGCGAAAAACTTCTTGTAATAAAATGAAGAAACATTCTTTTCGAAAGCTGTGCACGTGCGGTATAATTTACACGTAGTTTTCTTATTCTAGTTTGGGTGGCGACTTCACGAAAATGTCAATTTCGCTATTCAAAATCTCACTGTAGTTGAAAAATGCTCTGGTCACTCCCATACGACCACCCCAGGCAGCTTAGAAGCCTTCTCTGTTGCGAAAATTGCAGACGTAATGAACTATCGCACCAAATGACCTCCTATTAAATATTTTTCGCCCATGTAGCATTCGGTCGTGTGATTAGAATTGTTAGCTCTTTACAGTTAGAACTTTACAAAAGCAGAGAGACGCGGATCTTAGAAAAACGGGCAATTAAATAGTTGCTTCTGCCCTTTTTGCCTCCCAGGTTCGTGTAATTTTTATGTGGCTAACGTTAGCGCCAAGTCGCCTTCTTTCGTAGACTTTCAGGGATTGACCCGTAACGTCAGACGAATTAAAGCTGTGGTCAATCTCGGAGGCAAATGTGGAAGAACATGCCCTAGATTTGAGAGAGAGGGTGTTTGTGGACAGAGACAAGTTTTATACAAGGCTGTATAGCATACATTATACGAAGTTATACGGTACCATGGAGATATGGAGAAGCAGCCATGTCGTTCCACACGTATGTGTATACACACTCTGATTGGCTAATAGCTGACAAATCTGAAATTTTTCGAGATTTTTTTTTTTTTTTCCTCCACAAAAATGTTGGGTTGCGAACAAAACTTTCTTGTGAACCAAGCCAAAATTCTTTGAAACATTCACAAGGCGAAGTGCGGTCAAAAACAGCAGTTAATAAACAAGAACAAGTCAAAATTCTTTTTTCTTCAATTTTTCGATAGGTTTGTTTTCTAGAAAAGTGGTTTTTGGATCAGATGACAAAACATGAAAAAGCGATGTTGGCCCGTGCTTTACCATAAATTATAAATACATTCTAGCAAATAATAAAAAAAAATAAATAGTAAAGTTCTATCTTCGTTAAAGGCTTCGAATAGGCAAATACACTAGCTATAAGGATAGCAGGGGTGAGAGGATGGATAAGTGGAGATAGTTGGCAAGTGGAGCCGTTCCGTTTACCTGGAACACATCGGGGGATCAAAATTCGTGGGTTCTATAAGGGGGGTCGGGGACGGAAGCTTACATTGGTTGGAAAGAAAGTCCTGCGACACTTTTCCGAATTTTTGATTTTAATTTTATCTTTTCTGGTTATAACTCCTGACCGGTCTTATATCTACCATGAGTGTCCACCACTTGTCTCCAACGCTCAGAAAATTCTTGTTTGATGCTCCAAAACAGGTAGTGGCGGCATTCGAGAAAGAGCATTCACTTTCGAGTTGGAGTTGATCGTCTAATTATTTCGTCATCAAGATGATGATTTAAGGTCCAGGTAGGTGGCAGTCATTTATAGCTCGACCAGGGGAATACGCTCAGAGAGGTAAGAAATCTTGCCGCAGCTCCAGAATTTCTTACCGGGCTCATTCGGATCATGGTGATTCGCAATGTCATGAAAGAAATGAATATTGTCGCGGTACGAGGGCTCCTGACGAGCTGCCTCGGCCAGCTTCTGGAGTTCCGCAGCCTAGACCTCTAGCTACACAATGGTGCCCATAACGAAGAATTTGTAGTGGAGCTTCCGTAAGAGCCCTACCTGTAATGGAGTGTAGGGACGCTGCTGGCTTCTTATAAAAATATCAAAAGATCGAAAGCGCTGGTAAAGGTGAAACACGCTGTAGCGGTGAACGGCATGCCTATTGAAGCTATTGCAGATAGTGTCAGTCGTTGACACGAATCCATAGTTTTGGAGACATTTGTACTAGACAGTGACTCGGAGTATGGATTTGCTAGTCGAGGTTTTTTGAATTTTCTTGGATAACTACTGACTGCAGCACTTATATCCACCTCGTGGATTGAAGCCCGAGAATGCTCTACCATTTGTTAGTCATAAATGTTACCTATGAATTTTTCAGAAAAAAAGAAAATTTTAGAAAGAGTGTTCGCAGAACTTTCTTTCCAACCTAATACTTCAGAGTAGTTAAATGATATGCTATCCCGAGATTTTTACCTTCTCTGCGAAAAAAAGTGCTGACTTGCACATGGTCTGGTCCTTCAAAATGCCCTTACTGAATGAAAATAGAATCTGCGGCGCATCCACGAAAGTAACAGACCAACCACGAATGCATTCTACCTTTAATAGAGGAAGGTGCTTTCCATACTCACCTGCGGATAATTGGTGATGTCATCGACAGCACCTGTTGCCAACGAGTACGGCTTGTTCACTCGCCAGTTCACTAGACGAAATCCTCTGCCGTACGTCGGAATCCCGAAAATCTCGAAAACAAAGAATCAGGATCAATATAGAAAAAGTGTAAGCTCTTGGAAATGAAAAAGAACCGTTTTATTGTTCCACAATCCCATTTTGGCCCATGTAGCCATCGATGCTTCCTGGAATGGACGGATGATCATAAAGAATCGTCAGAGAAAAGTGGAACGAGAAATTCAAACCGAGTTCATCTCGCCAACGACGCCCAGCTCAGCTGTGATTCGCCTCAAGGGCGCGTTGAATCCGACAATTGGATGAGCATAGGAGAAGATGTGGAAATCGTAGTTCATCACCTGCACCAAATCCACGTACCTCAAAGAGTAGAGAATACGCCATGCACTCACACTTCACTTGTAAATATTATTCGTTCAGACACGAAGGCCCTCCGATCCGTATGTTACTCCCTATATACAGGAAGGAAAAGCAAAAAATTCTTTCTCCCTCACATGATCCCGATAAACTCGAACCTGATGCTTCGCATCGAGCGTTCAATAACACATTCAAGAGATTCACAAGAATACTCGATTATGAACAAAACTTTCGTCCCGAGCGGACTCGAACCGGCACCTCTCGTCTACCGATACAAGTTACGCAACTGGTGTACCGTTTTGCCCTAACCTTAGCCGTCCAACTGGCTCATCACGTTCGCTGTGAGTGCTGAAAGCTATGGTACGTATACCATGAAAAGCTGAGTTGGAATGAAATGGTGCCCCGGTAGCGTAACTGGTAGCGCACTTGCCCGGAAAGCGAGAGGTGCGGGTTCTAGTCCCGCCTGGGGCGAAAGTTTTGTTCACAACCCAGCATTCTTGTGAAACATTCGCAAGCGTTAAAGCAGCAGTCAGCAGCAGTAAACAAAATATTCAAAACTATCAATAGGCTTGATAATAACTTTCTTTCAAATAGCATTAAAGAAATCTGTAAGGAGGAATGGGGTATCCGGCAGGAGACCCGTCTCGGGGCGAGAAGGCAGAGACGCAGAGGGGTCAGTGGACGAGTCACAGCGTAGTAATTTCGCGTCAACTGGAATGTAATTACTACAGTACGTCTCCACACAGCACGCGCTGCGACTCGTCCGCCGACCCGTCTGCGTCTCTTCCTTCTCGCCGCCGCGCGATGGGCCTTTTATTGGGCACTAGGAACATGTGCAAGGTTCAAGCTTAGCAAGTTTCTCGGCTTATCGTGGACCATGACGACGCTGTCTGAATGCTGGTCTCGCGCAATCAGCGACGCACACTTCTCTCCTATTTCTTTCTCTTTCTCTCAGCTGAAGAAAATATTTAGCAGTGTGAGGCTGTAGCAACTACTGTGTGCCGCTCTGAGCTCGACGGCGTCGGCAAAAGCGTCATATTCCGAAGGAGGTGGGGGCAGTGGAAAACGAATGCTTGCGCTTGCAGGAAAACACTTTAACGAAATTGGCCGTAAGTACATCGACGGCTATCTGTGCGAAGAAATGATTACCGGTGTAAGCAATGAGTCCCCTCTCTCATAAAGAGAGAGAATTACACTGTCACTACTGTACTGTACCTTTGTGTTGTGTTACACTAATAAATGACTACCATATGCAATAATTGAAAAAATAATCATAACTGGGTAGCTAACTTGTTGAATGCCGCGGTGTCATAGGCAACTCTTGATATGGTCGGTGGTCCCGAGACGGCCACTGTCAGCAAGAAGGACGAGCCGAATCTGTCACGCATCGTCTGTCAAAATGGATTACAGTAGCTTTTCATGAAACAATACAGTAACCAACTGAATACCTTGAGAAGGATGGGAAAGCGGTTCCTATCAGTTCTGTGGGAGTCCGAACTCCAACTCGGAAACTCCCAGTCGATATCCATACCATCCAAAGAGAACTGTTTGAGGTATTTAAGTGAGGCGTCAGCAAAACTGATAATTTTATCGGATGATGATACCTAAACATGAACTGATAGTGAACCTATGAATTATGTGGCATAAACAATTGAAAGCTTTAGCTTGAAAGCAATGCTTGTGTGGGCCGGTAAGTACCTACGAGAGTTGAGAACGCTTCATTAGGTCCTGTGAGACAGACGAGAAGCTTGACATCTGAGCGTCTACTTTTCAGCTCGGAAAACTCCTGAACAATTATAATATTACTTATAAATATCGTATTTACTCGCTTTTACTATATATACTGAATAGTTAATTATATTAGCTATCAAAAAAACTCTGTCACGTAATATAAACTATTGGAGCAAGATTTCATTTCAGAAAGCCTGACTTCCAAGGATAGTTTTCATAGGGAAGAAACAGGTGATACTAAACGAACAGCCAGTGAAAGCCCACACTTTCTAACACTATCTTTTATATTTTCCTCTTGTCGCAAATATCTGCCAATACCTAATGGTAGTGAGTGGATGAAAATGGTTGGTTCTGCAAGCTGGTGTCGCCATTTTAGTCTTTCCTCCTACAATACTCGATCAGATATATATTCTGGCGGAGAGGTGTAGAGGCAAGTGCAACGCTTGCCACGTGTTGCGTCCGGGATCGAATTCCGTGGTCGTGTTCGTCGGCCAACCAAGCTTCAATCGCCTCAACGGGTCGGTGCTAGACTTGTCTGCGGCGATGCAGAAACACTGACTTGTACAAAACGGCTCCCCCGCAAGTCTTGTAAGCTAATAAGGACATTCAATACAACTGGCATCTAAAAAAATGACACTAGGACTAAACGCACAAAAGGGAAAAAACGTCAAAGAGAACGAAAGTTGATCACGTCATTTCCCTATTTTTCCCCCCCCCCCCTGAGGCTTAGTCTCAAGTCCTGGAAGTGGTTGATCACTTCAACGTCTCCCCCCAACGATACAAGCACCTGAGTAGAGTAATTGGGTCAATATTCAGATATTTCAAAGTTTGAGCTGAGGCTCTACGCCTAAAATGAAACCTTCAGGCGAGATGTTGTGCCCAGTTGAAGGTGGCCAATATTGTCAAGGTGAACCTGACCGATAAGAATGATATGAGAACAGAGGAGAGAGATCGAGATCCTTGAGCGGTGGTTGATTCCAGCTTAATTAATATCTCTTTGTGTTCGACTTTGAACGAATCTGATTATGTATTAGGTTGTCCCGTAATTGATGGATCTCTATATTTATTGATGCGAAATTCATTAAAGATTTTGAAGGCTTGAAGTATGTTATCTTGAGTAACAAACACATTGATCTACCCGAATGTTAGCGGGCCCATTTGTCCGCTGCCATCCAGGGCTAAAATTCCAATTTTTTTCTCGGTGGTTTTTATTAGCACTCGATAAGATCACATGAAGGTGGGGTTACACAATGGATCAACCAAAAGATGAGCGACGTTCCACGATTCTCACAAGGGGATGAGCCGCGATTTTTCAAAACGGTTTCTTACATATTGTAGGGACGCATGTATGGACCGCAAAACCATGTTTCGTTTTCGCTGAACGGTTTAAGTACCAAAAAAGTTGTGAAAAATACTGTTGATGGTTCGATCCCCCGTGGCGACTAAATTTTGCATTTTACCTATGTTGGCGCTTACGGGTTGGGGCCAAATGGCCCTAAATGTCGACGCCAGATGTCATATTCATAATCAGGACCTTGTTGAGGCCAACAAGTAGCCACAACTTTGAAAAGGCGCAGTTTGCCCTGGGAGGCTTCATTTGTCAGTCACATTGCTCTGCATGACACTGCTGGAAAGGGATCTGGACGGACTAACCGATATCCGATATTTGCCAAAGCCCTTTTCGAAGTGACAAGGAGACAGTGCTAAGCCATTTCCATACACTCACAAATTTCGGAAATATGGAGCTGAATTCCAAATAGCCTGAGCCGGAATTACCCACAAATATGATCTGACATCGCCGTTCCCGTTGCCTAAAATTTCCTCAATCGACTTTTCAGCATATTTAACGGACATGATTTAGTGGCTGCAACCAGGGTCAACCGACATTTTGGACCGATTTCGAAAATTTTACGACCCCCTGCCCCTTCCAGAGGGCCTCGATACGACCCCCCTTTTCCACCCCAAATACGATCCCCCACCCAGACTTTGTGCAACTGACGGCTGCCCCTGGCTGCAACGTGTCAATTGTTCACAAGCGACACCAGCCTAGCTTGCACGACTGCGACTTCAGACGACGTCTGAGCTTCTCTTAGGCCGATGTCAGACTTTGCGAATCGCGCGATTCGCTACTAGCGATTCGCGCGATTCGCAAAGTCTGACATCGGCCTTAGAACGATGCTTCCGTGTTAATGGTGGAACGAAAGAAGTTGCTGGCTGCTTATGCCGGGAGCAGTGATGAAGTTGAATGAGCAGCAGTTTGGACGACGACGTCTTCAACTGGAGACAAAGCAAG